TCAATGGAACACTAAAAAAGTCGCAGAGAATCAGCTAAAAATTTGTTCCAAAATTCGAATTCATAGTAACAAATCCCACAAAATCCGAATAAAATGTGTAACAAAATTTTGGAATGCAAGGATTGATTGATTATCTTAATTATGTAATTTAAGTTTTTCCTTAAATTTATGTTAATTAATTAACCGGGTGGGACCTGCATAGTTATTGCCTTAAGTAGTATGTATTACTTAAAGAGGTAAGTCAAACCTTTATTTTTTAAAGTCAACTTTACTATTTTTGTATTTTACCAACAACCTTTTTATATTATTATAGATTATAGATACAGTCATTTGTATATTTGTTTATATAATTATAAAATAATTACATTTTTGTATACTTATTTATTGACACAGTCAATTATTAACAAATCAAAATTTGTATTTGGTTCAATGAAAAATTTAACACATAATTTATATTTGGTTCAATGAAAAATTTAACTCATCATTTTTTTTATTTAATTTCTACAAAAACATTTATTGACAATTCTATAAAATATCATTAAAATTTACTTTCAGGAATTTTATATATTTAACATCTCTCACACACTGCACATGCACTTCGCGCGCACACACACACACACGTACATATACACACTCAGCCCGCAGGAGAGTGCCTCGATTCTGGAGATTACTAGGTAGTGCCTCCGCCGCGAATCCGAGCGTGCCCCCTTTCGGGCCTTCATCGTGTGTTGCCTTCTCCGGCGTCGTCCTACGGCCACCACTCCGAACCTGAATGGCCGGCGCTATGTCGCGCCTGCAAAGCCGACGTCGGCTGTCACCGCTCTCGTCTCCTTCACATGAGACTCCGGCGAGGAGCCCTACGAGGTTGAAGATTAGGTTGTCTCGTGGTTCACGTTGCTGGGAGTGGAGGGGGATGGTGGCGGTCGGGGTGGGATGACGTCAACGCCGACGGTGAGTTTGGTAGCGAAAAGATCGAGGTGAAATTGGGGCTGAGATTGGGCGAAATTGTGACTTATATTGGGCAAATCGGGTTGAGACAAGCCGAGGTTGGGGAAATCGGGGCTGAGATTGAGCCAAGGGAACGGATGTTTAATTGTTTTGGGGCTGAACTTATTTTTGTAAAATTAGATATAATTTATGCATTTTTGCAATTTTTGAACTTTTAATATGTGTATAGTTTACTTAAGAGTAATTTATAATTTAATAGATATTAATTTATGCACAATAATGACACATTAGATGCACAATAGTGTGCCTAAATGTGCACTTTAAAAAATATTGTCATATGTATATGAAATTTTTTTTAAAAAAAGATAAAAATGCCTTTTTTCGATAAGTGATTTTCACAATATTTGTCCATATATATCTGCTTTAAAAGTACAAACAAATAACCAAAACGAAAAATAAATTTTCGAACTGAAATTTTGACATAATAGGTTTAGTTTGTTTGTTATTATAAATAACCGAAATAAATTATATTATTTATTCTAAAAGCATGTTTAGTCTTTACTATTCTTTATTTAAGTTGAGGCATTGATTATCATGAAACATTTGCACCTGTCGCCAAGATGGTTACAGTGCGAACTTTCTTTGTTGTCGCAACAGCTCGCCATTGGGAGGTCCATCGGATGGACGTGCACAATGCTTTTTTACATGGAGATCTGACTGAGGAAGTCTACATGAATTCCTCTGGGCTTTCATTCACATGAGCTCGGTAAGATATGTCGGCTACGCAGGTCTCTGTATGGCTTAAAACATACCCCTCAGTGTTGGTTTGCTAAACTTGCTACTGCGCTACGACAGTATGGTTTTCAACAGTGCTATTCTGTTTACTCCTTGTTCGTCCTACATCGTGACTCGTTGACCTTGCATGTTCTAGTATATGTCGATGATCTTATCATTTCTGAGAGCGAGCCAACCTCCATTGCTGCATTTAAAAAGTATCTGAGTCGATGTTTTCATATGAAGGATTTGGGTGTACTGAAGTATATTTTCTCGGCATTGAGGTCGCTAGGAATTCTTTGGGCATTTTTTTGTGTCAACGGAATTACACTCTTGATATTATGACCGAGACCGGCCTACTTGGCGAGAAACCGGCGAACTTTCCGATTGAACAGAATCACCAGCTTCCCTTAGCAGACGGTCCTTTATTTTCTAAACCCGAGCGTTATCGACGTCTTATTGGGCGCTTGATCTATTTGACAGTTACTCGTCCATACTTATCCTATGCGGTTCATACTCTGTCTCAATTCATGCAGCAAACTCCTCAGGCCCACTGGGACGCTGCTCTTCGGGTGGTTCGTTATTTGAAGGGTACTCTGGGTCAGGGTATTCTTCGTTCCAATTGTGACTTAAAAATTTATGGTCGGTGTGACTCTGACTGGGCGACTTGTCCCACTATACATCGGTCTCTCTCGGGTTGGTTTGTACAACTTGGACATTCACCTCTTTCTTGGCGCACCAAAAAACAGCACACCGTGGCCCGGTCTTCTGCCGACGCCGAGTATAGAGCCATAGCGACCCTTACTTGTGAGTTGAAGTGGTTGAAAGGTTTACTTCACAACCTTGGCCTCGCCCATTCTCAGCCCATGCGGATTCATTCTGACAGTCAAACAGCTTCGCACATTGCTGGTAATCTTGTATTTCATGAGCGCACAAAGCATATTGAAGTCGATTGTCATTTTCTTCGTGATGCTCTTGTTCAAGATCTCATTTATGTCGTCCATCTTTTTACTCATTCACAATTGGCAGACATCTTCACAAAGGCCTTGGGAAAACGCAAGTTGATTTTTTTTCTCGGCAAGTTGGGCATCCGGAATCCGCATGCTCTGACTTGAGGGGTGGTGTTAGTGTGATTTGTTAAATATTATATTTTTGGTAGAGATAAGTTTTGGTATCTTAAAGATTTGGTGTATATTTTTAGGGCTTTTCTTTGTATCCATTTATTGAGCATTTGTAAACTATGTTGGACAAGTTGGATGAATCAGTTTCGTATATTGTTCTTTGACAGATATGATATATTCTGTTTCTATAGTCTAAAATTTTTCTTATCATAAGATTTGACTATATGGGTAAAAAAAATTATTGTAATGATTAGATATCTTACATAGTGTTTCAAATACCATACCGGTGGAAACATACCGCCTAGCAACCGATACGCGGTATTATCGGTCAGATCGGTAATATAGGTGGTACTATTACTGGAGTAGCAAATATAATGATACATATATATATACATAAAAATGTATAATACCAAATGCAAAAAAAA